TAAGGGACGTAGCTCATTTTTCAAGAAATGAGAAGACTCCCTAAACTCGTTCTGAGGTATGCATGCTTTCTAATGTGTTTATCCCCTCACACCTGGGAAGGGCTCTCAGCACACACACAAGTATAATTTATGCTAAGGGGCCTGTTACATGTTTTGCTCAGATAAAGTGTGTTGGTAATTAAGAAATGCAGCATCAGAGGTACACCGTGCATGTAAATGTGCAGAAGGGATTCTATCAACTGAACGAACGCCACTAAAGAGTATTCAAAACCTCAACCTAATCAGAAACCTACGCATATCTATATGTATTTATATCAATATCACAAACCCTGTGACATCCGCAGCACTGCTAACATTCTGACGAGAAAGCAACTGAACACAGCTGCCTTGGGCAAACTTGCATGCATAAAAAATGAAGTGACTTGATTAATCAGTGAAAGTTGCTGAATCATGGGCTCGCAGCCATGCCTGCATAGCCTTGGCTATTGGTGGGGAACCGCCAGCGTGGGATTTAGATGAATTTCTATCAGCTGGTCCATGGGCCTAAGTGGCCCTTATCTTTGCCAGCACTTTGATGAGAAATGTAACCTCTGTCCTGAAAAATGAGCCTTGTCAAAGGGCTAGAAGTGTGTAAAGGGAGGGAATCCAAACAGAACTGGTAGAAGACATATATTTGAAGAAGAGAAAGGAAAGCCGGGAGCAAGAAAACCCTGACTCCACTTGGAAGCCACCTTGAATGAAGGCAGTGGAAGCTGAAGGTAAATTCCTACCTGAGCAAACACCATCAAATTCAGCAGTGTCACCAGATGAGCAGGAATAAAGGTGGGCTATGGCTGGGAGGGAAGCAGAGGCAGCCAGGCAGTGCAGCCAACAGAAAGATGCCTTGTCAGAGTCACTTGGACAGCAGTACAGCCACAACAGGAATAGAGGAGCACTTCTACATATCCAGGGCATAATCTGCTTTGCCATGACTTTTCAAAAGGCAGAAAGGCCAAGGAAAAACATAAGGAGCAATTTTTTTCCAGAAGAAAAAAAAAATACGAAATTTCTAGGGAAAATGTTATGTGACACTCACCACAGAAGCTCACTGCGCGGCACACCCTGCTCTATGTCTTGCAATAGTCATCCCCTCTCAGGAGGATGGGAGAAGGACCCTCCTTCTGTGCCAGCCTGTGTTTGGAGAAAAGAAAAAACTCAGAACCGTGCTTCACAGGGACCTGCAGGGCTGTGCCTCAGTTCCCTCTGCCTTCTTCCCCGCAAAGCACAGCACAGAAGCCCACGATGACACATCTGCCAAACCCTCCTTGCCAGGCAGTCGGTCAGAGGCTTGGCTTTGCTTTTTCAGAGCATGCGGGGATTGTCCTTGACAGCATCTAGAGCAAAGGGAAAAGAAGGGCATGCAGCCTTTGTGCCAAACCCCATCCCTTTCCTTTACACTGTGCTGCACTTGTGAACGTTCACATTAACATATATTATATATATAATGAGTTCATGTGCCAGTAATAGAAGAGATTGTCAAACTGCAGAGGCTTATCTGTGAAAATGGCCAGAGTGATGTTTTGTCAGCTAAACTGAAGAGGCAATGCTGAACAGGTTGTTCCCTGTGCTAGATACCAATATGTCTTTGGATACTCACATATATACTTCAGTGTGTATGTGTGTGTATTTTCAATATTAAAAGATAAAATATAGTTTATAACATGGCATAGAACTAAGTTTGTGCAACGGAAACAGATTTTTACAGCTAAGTAGAAGCCTCTTGAGAAAAGGAGGTTTATAATGGAAATGCTGACAGACTCTTAACTATAGCAGTGGGATCTTCCCTGCTATCATGACCAGATAAACCAACAAGGTAATTCAATGTAGTGTTCCAGCTCTGAGACACTAACATACTCCTCCTGGTCCCAGGTGCTGGGGAAAAGTTAAATATAAAACTTAATGAAAGCGCGGTGACTGACTGCGGCGCTGGGAGTTGTCCCTGTGCCAGGGACTGGAACTGCATCCCACAGAGGCTCACGCAGCGGCTGGGGCCTGTTGCAGCCTTCCTAGCTCAAGTCACAGTGCCCTGTAATGAAGCCGGCAGAGAGCTCACAGATACAAACCCACTCACTGCACTTGTAGTGGGCCAAGAAATGAAGAGGAGCGCAGGGCACTTTCAACAGCATATGGGGCTGCTGGCAGAAACCTGCACTGCTCCCTGTGAGATTGCTCCCAGAGCCTTCAGTTTAGCAACCAGGAGGTGGGGACACCAGCTCCTCCAGCAAGCAGCAGCTGTGGGCAGCTGGGGCACGCCTGGCCGCACAGCTCTGGCTCTGTCCCCTCTCCCTGTCTGGGAGGCAGCAGCGGGGTTGTGCCGAGCTGGCAGCAGTCTCCAGCTCGGGGCTGAATAGAGGACAAAGCTGGCGGCAGCACTTGCCATGCTTTAACACCCAGGAAAGCAACGTCTGCTGCCCCTTTTTGCAGCACATATAAAACTACCAGGGCTTCAAGGAGGCACACACAGTGCTCCACCTACGCACAAATCCTGAGCTGCCTTCCTGAGGTCGGTGGGCTGGTAGCACTGCCTACTGTCAAGACCGTCTGACATTCCCAATTACAAGACCCTACTTTCAGCTGCTTATAACTGTCATATTTTGACCAGTAACTTGTCATTTTCCATTCTGGGCATCTGCCTCAGGCTGAATTTTTTTGGAAAGCTTCAGCCAAAACAATATAGCTATTCCCAAGGGCAAGGCCAGGGAACAATGCACTGTTTTGTAATGGTAAAAGAGAAAAAGAACTGACATCCTCTTCTTTAAGATGCACCACGTCTCCTCAAGCTTTGGATAGGGGAGCAGAAATTTAGCCGACCTGTGACCTTTGTATTAAGGATGCTCCTTTCATTGCTTCTGTGAAAATCCATGTAAGTGTGGCCAAGTGAGAGCACTTGAAAAAAATCCAACCCAACATCCTCAGTAAAGACTTTCTGCAATAGGAAATCCAAAACACACTGCAGATCCCATCCTGCAGCGCTTGCCTTGCCCTGCAGCTCACCCCAAACACGGCAGTCCCTTCCAGCCCCAAGCAGAGCTGCTTACACAGCACTATCCTCAGCACAGCCTCACATGCTGTGGGTTACCGGATATTATCGCCTGTCCAGAGCATCAGAGACGTTCCCTATGGCCCTATCAATGTGCTGTGGGCATGAAGATCACTTTGTTCCAGCATCCAGACCACAAGGGGAATTAATTCAGCCAGGTTAACATAGGGGAGACTCAGGCCAGGTTCCAAGAGGAACTGCAGCCACAAGGAGTGGTAGGGACAGTTTGATGGGTTGGGTGAAGATAGTGGGGTCAGGCAGTGGGGCAGGGATGGGAAGCCCAGTGCTGAAGACTGAGAAGGGGACTGAGTCTTGGGAAATAGTAGTGGGGGTCGAGACCATCACAGCAAAGAGAGAGACCTGGAGAAAGGATGAGACACAGGGAAGTAGGCAGATGATTTGCACCAACCGGCACTGCTGGCTCTCCAGGACCAGCAATGGGCTGCAGCACCCCGAGGCTCACTATCAGAAGCTGCCAGACGATCTGTGTGATCCTGCCACGCCCGGTGGGAAGCAGCAGCTTTCCATCCCCAGCACCACATGGCTCTTCTGAGCTCACATCCCAGCAGCAGGAGCTCCGTGCTCTGGCAAGCAGATGCCAGAACGAGCAGCATACATTTAGCAGCCCCATGCAAAACATCAGGGTTAAATGACCGCCACAGGCTGACAGAGCAAGAGCTGGCAGCAGCCACATCTGCAGGACAGAAAAGGCATTCAGCTGCCTCACCCAGGACTCTTCCCCGTGCCCACTGCAATCATCACAGCCCTCTCAGCTTCCACAGCACACAAATAAGCAACCTGCAGAAAGAATGCGTGATGCTCAGGGATTTCCTACACATGGGAAATTCCGGTCTTTCAATACGTCCTTTGAACAGAGAAATCTGGATGAGAGAAAATGGAGGGTATTCTCATCCTCAGAACTGTAGTTAAATGGTGCACCGCCTTTACAAAAAGCTGATGTTTACTACTGCAATACATTTATTTTTAAGCTCAGGTCATCTGCTGTAAAAAATTACTCAGACCATTAATTTTGGAAGCCAATGCTGAGAGATCATGAATGTTAAGAATTCTAATTATATTGGGTCTAGGAAATTTAATGAATAAAAGAGACTTTTCATAAGCATCTCAAGCCGTAATATTTTAATGCTATTGGCATTAATTAAAATATCTGGAATTTTTAAAAGAACTCCCTTCCTTTTCCTTTTAATTTTTTACTTCTACCACTGGAACAGCTAAAGCCATGAAAAACAATGTTCTTTGTGGTTGATCATCTCATTTATAATCATGTCATGGCAGCAGCAACCTTTTGCTGAAATTCTGTTTATGCTTCAAAAATTTCCCCCTAATAACTCTGTCCCCATCCCTCCCCCCATCACCAGCATGCCCAGATTTGTCTGCACAGGGCTGTGAAGATAAAAGTCCGGATGATTTGGCACAGTACAAGGGACTGAACTCCCTTCAGTGTCTGATTAATGGTACTATCCATCTCAGAAGATAGTGATTCCCTCCTTTACAGCTTAGGGGAAAAAACAGACTAACCTTTGAATTCATACTCCGTCATCTTCCTCTGACATTTGTGGCTTTCTGCAGGACACGGGGCTGCAGCAGAGCAGCAGTAGTGCCATTCCCATGCTGAGCATTACCAGGAGTGATGAGGACACCCAGTCTTCTGCTTTGCGGGGCTAGGAGCTGGGTTTGGTGCCCTTTGCAGAAGTACTGGCTTTGCAGGGGATGCAGATACAGTGCAGGGCAGGCAGGCCGTGCAGCCTTGCTCCCTGCTATGTACACTTGCACCAATTGCAGCTCTGCTGAATGCAAAGAGAGAGCACTGCCCTGACTCAGAGCTCTATGATGGGCGCTTACACCCTGACTTGAGAGCTCATATGAGCCCAGAAACATCAGAGGCTCTTTTTGTCTCTTCTTGAGCTCACAGGTTTTTATTTGGATCTTTTTTTGTAAATATACACTCGCTTGCTGGTTATTAACAGTGGGACCTCACCTTATGTGATGCTATTCTCACTTTTCTGAGTATCTAATGAAAGGAGGCACACAGGAACTGCCATGCGCTGCTTAGCCACTTGGCTTGATGGAGAATGGAGTTTTCCGGCAGCTGGAAGCATGGGAGCTGCTCTTGGTGCAACCGTCATCTGGGCAGTGGCACATCAGGCACAGTGCAGAAAGCTGCCCCCCTTCTGGGGGGCTTTCACTTGAGAATTCACATGAAAAGGCCAAAACTGTGGTTGCCTGAAAGGAAAACAGTATTTTCTGATGGATCAGGGTAAGCGCGGTTTTCGCTAGAGCAGCAAATAACAAAAATAGGAGGTTGCTTTTTATTTCCACCAAATTGGGCACAGTCTCCTCTGTCTCCGAGGCACTTGGCACAAAACAATGCTGCTCCTGTTGGGATGCTGCACGCCAGTGCATTGCAGAGAAGAGGCAGGTCACAGTTCCCTGGCAGCATTTCCCCCTGCACACAAATATGCCAATTCAGCAGACTTCTCAGCTCGCTGTGCTGATTCCTGTGCTGGGCACAGCCAGGTGTCACACAGGTGAGGCTGCGCACAAACATGCAGGAGGCCCAGAGGGCTTTATCTGTTTTCTCCATGCGGCTGAGAGAGCGCTCAAAGGCGCCTGCTGGCTTTGTATGTTTGGTGCCGTGGAGAAGAAAATCGATGTGGGAACTGCAGATGGCTTCAGTGTTTCAGGGCAACCCAGACTGCCTTCCAGTGAAAACAGAACTGATTTACTCTTAAAAGCTTAACTTTACTGACCATTATATTTTATTTCATTATTCAAAGGCAAACACTGAGCAAGCATTTTCTCACCATGCCCAGTTCTTTCAGGTGGAAAGGGGTGAGAACCGTTTGTGCATCCAGTCAGTTGTTTTATGACTTTGCATGATTTCAGTAAGCTTTTCTTCCTGATGTTTTTCCATGCCCTGGGATCCAGTACCATCTTCTTGTTTACTCTGCAATCCAGTGCTATCAACCATCCTCAAGTGTTTGTCTCATCACCTCTGAGACTGCTCCCCTACCTGGGAAAACAACAAGGGACAAACTTTCTGCACTCTTCAGGTTTTTTCTCCCAAATAAGCCAGAAAATAATGTTTGGTTCCTATTCTTAGCTAGCTGTGGACTCCCTGCTGAGACCCCCTGCCCTGTCAAATGCTGACTAATCGTGCCTGCAGCAGAAGTAATCCAAACCAGGGAGCTATTCAACAGCAGCAGAAGGATCCATTAAAACAGATTATGCTCTCTACTGCCTTTCAGCCCTCAGACGAGAGGCTCAGCACGCCGAGGCGCTGCCCTGGGGCACAAGTACCCAGCAAAGCCACCCTGCAGAGTCCCCTTGGCAGCTCTGTGAGGCTCTTGCCTTCAGCAAATGGCACAATTCAGGCCAGTGAGGTCTGTGTGTGCCAAGGGACCAGGGCTGCGAGGTGATGCTCACAGGCATAGTCCTGGAAACTGCTGGGATATTTTTGTTTAGCTTCCTTATCCTTGGCACACAGGCAGCAAAGCACCTATGTATTTGATTCCTATTTGATTTCTCCTCTGAATCTTCAAGGGGTGCAAACCCCTACAGGATTCAGTCCCTAGAGAAAAAAAAATGCACTGTAATGATGGCCTGGAGGTAACTCAGCCTCCAAACTCTGCAGCTGCCAGGCAACAGGAAAGGCCCAGGACTTGATGAGGAGCAGGATTCCTTCCAGATGCTGAGACAAGCTTCGGGTGTTCACAGCCCTGACCTGGGGGCAGCTCAGCCCCAAGCTCTCTGTCTGCTCTAGACACAAGGCCAGCCATGTGGGCTTGGGTATCCTTTTCAAGATTCTGTCTTAGGCTCAGCTTTTTCTTCCAATACCAATTTCTGGAAAAATTTGTGCCTCTGTCCCTCCACCAGCCAAACATGGGCTCTGTGGCAAGATATGCTTCTCTAGCCACTGCTGCTCAGATCCTGAGTCCTCTTTCCTCTCAAAGTGAACCTCTGGGCTCTTCCATTCAGTACCTCAGCCCAAGAGCAACTCCAGGCATTATTACTCTTGGGCTAACGATGCCAGCCTAGCTGCCAGATTCATATCCTTCCTTCCAGCCAGTGGAACAAAGTATGCAGATCCTTGTCGCATCTCTGAGCTTAATGCAGCCATCTCTAGCTGAGCCGTGACCATTGCTAATAACACACTGCTGCCCTGCAGCGTGTCAGAAAGGTGATGCAAGCTAGAGGATGAAGGACATTGAGTTTCCTTGGTTGGACAGTGAATAGCCACTCCTTCTGCTCTGGAAAGCACCACCCATAGTCAGTGACACGTGGCTGGACCTTGCAAGGCTTCCTCTGCCCACCTTATTTAATTGTGTAACATGAAAGCCACGGCCTGAGACAGTAGGACAGGCATATGCAGAGTGTACCTATTTACCTTGCAGGTTTTTAAACCTACAGAATTCAAAAGGCTATGTAAAGCAACAAAATCTACACAATTTAAATTGGCCTGACTTCTGAAGGCTGCAGGTTCCAGGACCTGAAAGAAAGCCTGCAGCTAGACTGAGTAACTGAGGGAGGTCCTTTCAGCATACAAAGATCAACTGAATTTCAAACGTACCTTTACGCCTAGTTTTTATCTAATTTCAGTTTCACACAAAATAATGTTGCCCTAGAAATAAAATTCCCCAGTACGTCTGCCACAGCTCTACAATGGCCATTTAGCAGAGCAGTAAAGCAAAGCACCAGGTACTTGACAGCTCTCTTTGTGTCACTCACAACATGCCTTCTAATTCTAGAGAGCTACTGCCATGTACTCCAACAGGGTTTCTTTGCTTTCCTGAAGCAGTTACATGACTTAAGAGTTTGGTCATCTTTTCTGCTAATAGGAACTGTATATAGTAACAGGACACATGTAGAAAGCCCTGCACGTTAAAATCCAGCTAGCTCAGGACACCAGTAATAGGATCTACGCAGCTCTGCAAAATGAATTTTTATGATTTTCCCAGCTTAACATGGTAGCATTAATATTTCATTACTAGATTTCACTATGATTTTGGTCCTGTTACTGTCTCAACCAATTTATTGCTTGAGAAGGTTATTTTTAATCTTCAGCAGTAACTGAGAATATACCCTCAGAAAACCTTTCCCAGTGTGGAATTTTTTTGCTATTTAATTGTAATTGAGGTGATGATGTATTCAACAGCTCTTTACAAGAAAAAAAGATATACAGCATTCTTAAGAGAGTGGGGAGGAGGCTTATCTCTTAGTATCTAGATCAAAAGTTTGTATTATCCACTTGTCTTAATTTTTAATTATGATATTTCAGACTCTCAGAATGGAGAGAAAGAGTTAAGAAGATGTGGTCTATTACAGTGAAGCACTATCGCTCTGGCAATTTGCCTTAGTAAAATGAAGGTGTTTGTTTGGACTCTACCTCAATGAAGGTTGAGTATAAAGGCAGAGCCCAGATTTGTTATTCTCTAGGCATGTAATGTAGGACCCTGTGCCTCAGAGCCAGTCCTGACAGCCAAGGAATGAGAAAAGGCCAGTGGCTGCCCCAGAAAGGTATGGGAGAGGGGTGCAGGGAATTCTCTACTGACCACTGATATGAAAAAAATCTCTCTCTTCAGTGCTCTGGAAATCCAGGCTGTTCCCAGGCAAACAGAGAAAGGCACAGAACTGCCAGCCCAGTCCCATGGCAGAGGGTTTGTCTGATCTAAAGCATTCACTCTCTGCCAGTAGGTCACCAGAAGATTCCTCCTGCCTGATCTGCTCAGGTTCTTCCCTGAATTCACTGTGGAGAAGGATAGTTGTGCACAGTCCTTCACACGTACCAAAATGACATACCTAAGCCCATACTGGTACTCCACCTTTGAAATGTATCCTTTTTTTTTTTTGTCACAGCAAAAAACACAGTGCTGATGCAGTGGCTGTAGGTGTACAGCTTGGCAGAGCATTAATATCTGTAGACTATATTTCAAGACACAGATTCAACATGTTTTGATGCAACAACCTCACAGAGGTCTCTCTGAACACCACCTCATCCTCCTCCTCTCTCAACCTCGGCAAGAGCCTGGAGGATGGCCCTGTTCCTCCCTCTCCATCAGCTTATCCAGAAAATATCTGTTCTTCCCTTTGTCAGCTGCAGTCATAGCAGCACCTAGCCCAATGACAGCCTGAAAGGATCACTGTGGTACACATCACCAAATAAGCCCGAAGTTTCAGTGCAGTGCATATAACAATAGTGACACATGTCAACAGCACTCTGTCAGATCTCAGTACATTTCAGGTACCTGCATTTTGAGGTGTTTTACTGTTCAAACATTTCTCCTAAAGTTCCTTCTGTGGTAATCATAGCTCTTCTAATCTACAGGCTTAAAACCAATTCAAAGCAGAACTGAAGGACACAAGTATTGCAATCTGACATTTCACAGTTCTCTAAAATTTCCCAGCTCACTGCTGAGTGACCCCAGACAGAAGATATAAATGAGCGCATCAGTGTTCATAAAAGGAAGTTTTGGGGAGAAACCAGGAGGTGGGCTCATCATTATCCCTTTAACGAAATCCAGAAATGGCACTAATTCAAATCAAATGGCCAAACTTTACACTTACGGTACCAAACAACTTGTAAAAGCCTTCCTCAATTCTAAGTACTCAGTATATTCTTTATGGGGAAGATGAGCAACAGAGCAGACTTCCCAGTGAAAACATTTTCTCCCATAATCTTTTCTCATCTGAGAATTGTAACGAGTGCAAGGAAATTACAAGCTGCTGTAAAAATTACAGAGACTAAAACTACCATTTTATCCTGCATTAGAACAATTTTAACATTGTTAGAGGAATACATCTTAGCAATTTTAAAATTATTTGAATCATGACAGAAAGACTCACAACTGCAATATTTATCTTTCAGATTCATCTTAGGGTGTTCCTGAAGATGTGTGAGATGTCACATTACATGGCATTTTTGGGGGACTGGAGAAAGTCACTTTGACAAGTAGCACATGTAAATTGCAGCCATTGATTATGGAGGATTTAATTTTATCTACTCTGCATTCTTGGTACGATAAATAAAAAAGATTTCAGTGGTTACTGTAGGACTGCAACAACTTCCACAGAAATGCAATTTATAGTCACACATTTTTTCACAGCGAGCTTTGGCATACATTTGATTAAATTCTGCTTTCCAGAGCACTTAATGAGAATTCTAATTCTCTGGAGATTTCTGTAGGCATGACAGGTAAAGAGGAGTCTATCAAGTCATAGCTGTGATTGTTAGTACAAGGAGCTGGCTCCTTTGAAGAAAAATAAAATTCATAAGCATGCATACATATCTTTGAATATTGCCAAGATACATATTGGCAGAGCAATAAATAGTGTGAAGATTTATTACTTCTCTATTTATCAATGCATACAAATCCAAGACACTTGTGAGGTACAGAGACATTCAGGAACATGTTTGAACTTAGCAGCTCCAGCAAATCGTGTTTGCTCTGGGTTCTGTCAAAGAACTTGAGATCGATTCAGTCTCTAATATTCAACAAGTTATCTCATTGCTTTCCCTGCGTGCCTGATGGGGAATGCCTAGGAACTTTCTCCAATGGACCCAAAGTTGTCTCCTGGCTGTAGACCATATACTGCTATAAATAAACAGGCTAAAACAGCAAAATACCTCTTTCTTACCTGATTCTTTTGGTATCGTTTCACCTCTGCTCTCAGATTATGTTCATTTTTATAAGGACTGTCTCATTCTCACAATCTTCTCCTTGAAGTAGCTTGGCATAAAGTTTCATTTTTTTGATAGGAATTCTGTGAATCTCCAGACAGTATGATTCATTCTCCATAAATCTGTAGCTGCAATCCTAGGTGGGGCAAATGGAGGGCTGTTAAATTCAGCAGAGAATTCAGTTTCAGAAGAGTTTTGTCCTTGCACACAGAACTAGGAGAAAGACAAAACCTCCCACCACATAAACTGTTAGGAGAAACTCCTCAGAGCTCAGATCTAATATTGTGAAGGTGGAACCCTTGGAGAATGAGGGTATGTGATGCTGTAGCTGGATGTACAGCACACAGCTCACATGGGTGTTCCTGAGCTGCTGTGCTCTCACACTGAACACAAAAGTTTGCCCTATTGCAGCCTTCCTTCCGCTTGGCCTGCTGATGAAATGTGTGAGTGAAATCCTGAATATCTCAATTACTGGGGCTTTAAGATTTGATGAGAAAGTATTCTAGACATAGAATACAACGTGCAGATTTCAAGTTAATGGAAGAGCTCAATATTTTACGTCCACCTTTCAGACAGGGAACCAGGGCAATACGGGCAAGAGTTCTGCCATTCAAAACAATTGGGCCACCAGTAAAAGTGGAAGTACCCCAACGCTCACTCATCAGGTCCCAGTATTACTCTTACAGTGGGTAGTCTATTCCTGCTGTCATTATCATTAGTTCTGGAATTAAACTACAATCAGAATCCTCCTAAAGAATATAAACACACATAATAAATCTTAGTACCCATTATTTCAGTTCTCACTATCTGAACTCAGTTATTTTTAATACTGACCAATGCTCGGTAACTAATTCTTAAACTGGAATTAAAAAATAAAATAAAACACAGAAACAAAAACAAAGCACATGCAAAGAACAGATTAAATATAGTTTGTGCTTATGCTGATTTCCAGAAATAGGCTAATAAACATTGCTTAGATGAAAGGAGTCTGAAGCGTTAAAGAAAGAAATCAGGTCTCACTTAAGTGATCTTTTAGCAGGAATCAAATTAACAAATATAATATGGATTGCTGACGAGGTGCTTGATCATTCTCTGCAGTAAGGATTTTTTTTTATGTATACATTACATTTATTTATGGATTTATATGTATGAGTTTGTGTATGAGCTGATTCTATTAACACTTCATTTGAAAATGATAAATGGCATTTTTATTTTAAAAGAAAATATTAAAAAGTCTTCATTTGCTACAGTAAGTTAGAATATATGACATTACTATGACATGCTGTATTTTCTTCTCCCTTAAAAAACACAAGCCTTCAGTGTAGGACTACGCTAGTAGGAAAGTATACAAACATTTTATTTAGTCCATAGGCAATTTTCCTCTAATTCAATCTGAAATGACACAAAGTATTTTTCCGTAGGAAGGTGGAGGACAAAATAAAAAGGGAGACATAAAAGAGACTTAATGAGATTGTGGAACTCTTTCTTAAGCAGTACAGCATCTTAATTTCTGGTAAATTCAAGCAACCTCCATCTGGGGGTTGATTCTGTCAGTCTGTATCTATGTCTGTCTGCCTTTATCCATCTCTCTAGGCATTCATTGCTGTGGTTTGGGAGCACCACTGAAGGAAACAGGAGCTCTGCATGCAGCATAGCTGCAGAATCCAGCCCCTATTTGACAATGATCAAGTCTGACATTGACAAGCACTTATACCCCATTCTCTGGCTTTTTTTTTTTTTGCCTCGGATACACGTGTTGTCTGGCAAAATTTAAAAATAAAACATTTAATGCTATACTGTGGTCAGTTCTCATGTGCCTCTGCAGTGCAGGGGGGAGGGAGAGGAGGGTGGAGGCAGGCATGGCTCAGCCTTCTGCACCACTCGCAGCAAGGTCAGCCAGAACTGTTGGAAGAGCAAAGTTGCTGCCACCCAGAGCACGAGGCTCCCTGCAAAAGCTTCCCTCTCAGAAGTAAATCACCTGAAAGGTCCAAGAGAGGCTGAGGCATTATTCCCACTGATTCAGGCAGCAGATTTAGCTGGCCACACCCCAATGTAACTAGCTCCTGAGCCTCAGGGCTCTCTGAAAATTTTCCATCAAAACTTTCATGGAAGTATCTGATTTCTTTGAAAATGTCAGCATGTTTTTATTTCATTCTTGCTAGACAAATTGAATAAGGAAAATGGAAGAGATATGAGCAGAAATGCAGAAAAAAAAAGTAATGGCTAGGGGAAGGGAAATTGTTTGGTTTGTCAATGAAAAGCCAATATTTTCAGCTAAGTATTCTGGATTAAAATTGTACTAGTCAACAGAATATTTGGGGAAGCACACCACTTATTTATGAACAGCCCCATTTCAGCTCTTTATGGACTACAGTTGATTGCTTCTCTCTTCTCAGTACCAAGGAGATGGGTACAGGCAAAACACTCCCTCAGTCTCCAAATTTGCTGAGCCTTTACAAGTGTCACCATCCTGCCCTGGATCAGCTGGGGTTTCATCTAAGGGAACTTCAGAGTTAAAAGCTGAAATTGTTTTGTAGGACCATGGAAATAGAATGAATGAGAACAGGATGATTGAACAGAGACCAATGTCCTACAGAGCCCCGTCTGCTGTTACAGCATGAAGACGCGTTGCTGAATCCCTCAGATGTACCCATTTCCACAATTAAGAGTGGTTTTCCCCACAGGTCCTGTTAAGTGCTCTTCCAGAAACCCACATCTTACATTAGAAACTCTTTGCTAAAATACAAGGTAAAATTACTGATGAGTGGTTTACTGTTAGTTGTTTATTTATCAATATTGTCAAAGCTAAAAATGTTCCTCTTCATTCCTGTCACATTTATGGCTGTTCTTTAAAGCCTTCAGTATGTTACACCACAGTGTCTATTCCCCCATCAAATTATTCACCTTTCCTCTGCTCCTGCTCTAGGCTGAATTTCTTTCAAACATTAGTGGCCAAAGTTGTTCTCCACATTCCTGGGGAAGTCTTACCAAAGCCTTCTTGCAGTCCAATTTTGACTGGAAATGCTTCTTCTGAAATAGTGCCAAAATATACGCCCAATTCTCCTGTATCAGTTCAACTAATAAGCCTTACCTTATATTAGAAATTGTCATTAGTCCCCAGCTACATGACCTTGCTACTTGACCTGTTGCATGTAATCCCATTTATATTTCCCCAGTCCTTGAGGATATTTTATTTGTTTGGTCTGAGGCTCCTGGCTATTGACAATTTCCTCCCAACTTAAGCCATCAGCACATTTCTCTAGCAGGTTCTTATTCTTTTTGTGTCTAGCTGATTAATGAAAATATTAAGGGATACAGGTCCCCAGATTGTGACTTCAGAAACTCCATTTTTATCTCCCTTTAACCTGGTATTTCTTCTTTCAACATCATCTGTTATCTCCTTTAGCCAGTTCCTAACCATTTTACAATTCTGGGTATAATCTTCATTTTTTCCAGTCAAATGATTCCCCATGTATCTCTGTGTCAGATGCTTCTCTCACAGTGGATATACATCACATCCACTGCTATGTTATTTGTCTAAAAAGATCAGGATAATCTAAAGAAAGATTATCAAGATAATCCAGTAAATCTGCTTTCAGTAAACCAATACTGTTATCCCACTTCTTCCATTTGCTGTGTTTTCTGTTACTCTTCTTTCCCAAAGCCTGGCATATTACTGATGTCACGCTAATATACCTACACCCAACTAGATTACAGTTTTTCCTGTCTTAAATATAGGAATCGTGTCTGAAATTTCTCATACCACTCTACTTGAACATATTCTAAAATATCCTTCAAGAACAAATGCAGTTTCAAATGTCAATTCCTTCAAACTACTGTGACACAAATCCCAAGAAACAGCTCCTGGATTTTTTGCATCATTTCCATTCTTCCATAAAGCCAATTTTTTCCCATTCAAGTTCAGAGTCATTGCCCAAATTGGCTACTGAAGCACAGAAAATCATCAAATTTTTGGAAATCATCTGTGCTATCATTAAATTCATCCCCTTTTAGCCATCCACAGTTTCTTTCCTTACTATCATCTAGTCTTGATTGTTAAAATACCCTACCATATATTTTAACTTATTTTTCAAGTTCTAAATTGATATTAAATCTTACCTTTGCAGTTTTAGACCTTAGGTTTCCTGTTGATCAATGTATTTCCATTTCTGGAAGACTGCCATTTTTGAAGTTACAGAATTTTCTTTCAGTAGAAATATCTGTAACAGAACAATATCAGAAGAACATTTATTCTAAAGCATTGCCAAAATTTGTTATTAGCTATTATACAGCATAACGCAATTTCTTTATACTTACTTACTTCGACAGTGCCTTATATTTGAAAAGTGTTGCTTCACAGATTCAGTACAGTAGATTTAGTGAAGCCTAACGTTCACGTCTGATTGGAAAGCAAACTTCTAACCCTGTAAGCAGTTGATACTGCGGATTCTTCATGGCCCACCCGCTATGCATATTGATTGGGCTAAAATGTAACCATGCAAAGTATTGCTGCAGCTGGAAATGTCTCTCAATCAAAACAAGACTCCTGGATCCAGATTTAATCTTTCTCTGTATCAACTTTGCAAGTCAAAAGAGGGTTTCACTAATAGTCACCTTTGAAAGCTCACTTTCAGATCTGCAGTCAAACTCAGCCTTTATTTTCTTCTCCCTAATCACCAGCACCACAGACTGTATAATTAGCAAGTGAATGACAATTCAGGGCCTGCTGCAAAGCCCGAAGACTGAGTTCATTTGACGATCAGGCCTTTTAATTGAAACTGCAAAGAGGATATAGCAATCCACCCCCTTCTCCATAGCAATTTTGACTTTGTAAGGCTCTGAGCATAAAAGTATATTGTGGGGTCTGATGCGTTTTTTGTTGACTAAAGGAAAAACAACTCTCTAAAATACACACTTGTCAAACCTTCAAGTTAAACCATGAGGCTGCACATTTGCAAAACCCTTTCTCTGAATACAGTCATCCTTAAAAAGGCTCAGAGTTCTGGAGCTTTACAGGTTTTTGAAGCTCACTGCAATCCCACAAATTCTCAGCTTATTTGTATCATGACAAAGGTTAGGCTCAAATGCAGTACAGATCTTGTTGCATTACAAAACATCTATTTGTAATGTCAATTAATTTTATTCCTAATATTGGGTATATTAGATATGCTCTAAGGTGATGAATCATTTTCCAGTCATTCTTCCGGGCTATACATGAAAAAAAAATATCCTATTGCATCCGTACTAAAGGGCAAACCACTTGTCTTAAGACTCAGTTTAAATATAAATCCACCACTGAACTCTATCTCATATTAAAACCAAGGATTAAATGCTGTGACAAATTAGGGTCTGAACTCCAAGGCACCATGTGAGAAGTAAGACCATACCTGCTCATCCAAACTGGTGTGGCTGTTGTGTAGCATTAGTTGCCATCTTTTTATGTTTTTTGGTTTTCTGTATTCCACATCAATACATCATGTAGTGGAATTAAAGTGTTAATGCTCCAATTCCAGGTACCTATCCCTATACACTGTGGAAGTCACGGGATCTGCCCTTCTGGGTGGGGCGGTCTCTTACTGCCTGGCAGTGGGTGCTGGAGGTGCTTTCCTAGCCGTTCCAAGCTTTTCAGGTTTGACTCGGTCTCAGGAACTCTCTCCTATCTTATTTAATTTATTAGTCTCAATTTCAATTAGATTGTATTCTATTGTGTTATCTTGCATTCCAATATCATAGTTAGTGAAATAAGTTTTCCTCCATAGATTGTTGCTGCTGTTTTTTTTTTTTTTTCCTCCCTCCCTTCCTTCCTTCCTTCCCATTTTGTGGGGCCAGGGGGGGGGTGAGGGAGCAGGGGCCTACTGATTGATCTAGTTAACAGTGACAGTTATAAACTATTTTGTACAGCTATTCACAATTATCTATCCCTCTAGATTATTTATGAGTACTGGTGTCAGAATAAAGTCACATTTGCATATAAATAAATTATTTTGGTGTAGCTTTTCATATATATATATATTACACCAGAACACCTGTGCAATTCATACACATGATGCTTGAGTAAAACTGCTAGTATCTCATGAAAAATAAGGATCATCTCCCAGTTTCATACACAGGAATTGAAGCTTTTACAGGATAAAAGGTTTATTTGATACCACAATTGGCATATTGCTGCCTATATCACCATTCCAGCCCTACACAACTGGACAGTTCAATTCAGCATGACGTGTTTCTCTAACTCACTTAAAATCCTAAGTCCTGCCTCCCTGGAAATTCAAATTGTAGCTTCTCTGTGCAGTTGGAATTGATTAACATTAAATATAGCTCCAATCATAATTTTAAGTATTTTATAATAGTATGCAGCAATACCCCTGCTTCTGTACCACTGAAAAGGCTATTCCTATCTTAACACTTAGAGAAGACTTTGAATGTCCTATATCCTTGGTACTGATTTACCACCTCAGTTAACAGGAATATGTTACTAAGGAAAGTGGTTTATTTCTGTTTTTCTCTATTGGAGTATTCTCTAAGTGAAGAAGTGTGTGTCTCCTGTATGAATAACTACCCTGTTTCCATTAACAAGTTGGCAAAAAAAATACATTTTCTAGTGCTTCAGCATTTCAGGTAAATCTGTTTGTTTTGTTCCTTGGCACAAAAAGTGGAACCTTTATTCAGATAACCAGAAGGATGATTATAATGAACTGAAAAAAATTTAACTGCAAAATACACTGCTTGGATAATGCAACTTTTAGCAATAACTTTTTTCTGTCATAGATTTTGCTTTGATTCTTGTCTTCTGTTTCATTTAGAATTCCCAGCCTTTCATTATTAAATTATAGCCTACAAACTATTAGAATTTACCAATTAGAACTGACAGATACTTTCTCAAAGTGAAGTGTTGATTTATTACAAAAAAATATATATATTCACATCCTACCCTTCACATATAGCCAGCATCTGCCCAGCTTACTCAGAGTAGCTGCAGAATTTAGCAGCCCCCCATGACCATGTATAGTTGAGAAGACAGATGCAGCTTCAGGATGTATCCAGAAGGTATTTCCAAATGCAAAGGGTGAACACAATGGCACAAGGAATTCACATGTTTATATTCGTAACATGAATAATTCTGCACCTCAGGTTTAAAAAGAAAAACTTCAATGGGCACAAAGAATGACAACAGAGACAAGAGGAATGAGGGACAACAGCAAGAAAGAGAGGGGAAATGGCTGCAGTAAATGAACAGTTTAACCTGGAGAACACCTCAGACAGAAAAATATTCCATGCTACAGGTTAATGTTAATACTAAAGCAAAATGTACAAATGGGATAAATTTAGGCTAGAAATTAGAAAGTTTCTAATCAGATGAGCAGAGATGTTCTGGAACAGCCTTTCAGTAAGACTGAGGAAATAAAATCCAACTACTCGTATAATGGAGCTTAATATAAATGTACAGGATTACACAATTTGAGCAGAAGAAACAACAGGGGATTGCACTTCCTGCTTGTTTCCACTGTGAATTAACAATGCAACAATCAGACTTTTACTTCAACTGTTATCAATAACAATGTGTAATTTTACGCGTTTTATGTACTGCTAGAGCTGAGAGCCTCTTCCAAACTCCCCCAAAATAAATGCAACAAGCACAAAAGCACCTAACAAGCTTGTGTGTTTTAAAATGTGGTTAAAGTGGAACGTGTTAAGAGGAATGGGGTGGAAAGCAATTGAACCACAGCTCAGCCCAGGTCCAAGCTACAGCAGGTCCCTGCTTGGGAGGGAAAGCAAGAAAAATGAACTGCAGCAATGCAAAATGCTGTCATGGAATGGAAGCAATGACTCCTGTTTTTAAGGGAGCAAAAAAAACTATCCCCATTCATAATCAAGCAGAAAGGCAGAGAGCTTTTCAGAAGAACTACCTCAGAACTGAGCTGGGAAAGAAGTCCTTGGTCATGGAACACCTGCCTGCAGGTGGAGCCTGCCAGTGACATCAGGTACCTGTGAGAAAGGGAGATAAGATTTGTGAAAGAGGGCCTGCTTCTAGCCCTTACAAGTTGAGCACAGGTTAGCAGTCTTGGGGAGGAAGGAAGCAAGAGGTTTAATCTACAGATCATTGCTTATAGTGTGGTGGCTCTGTAATAAACATCACCTTTTTAGAATAAGAATGCAGTAACTCTGAAAAGGAGCTAGCCCCAGTATTTAGCTTCTAAATTCACAGCTGGTGACCCAGAAATTCCCTCCCAGTTCTAGGCTTATTTCTATGACAAGGTTCTCATGAACAGTTATGGAAAAGACACTGCTGTTCTCATTGTATCAGTACAGGAGAGAAGGACTTTGTGACTTAAATCATGTTGCATCTAAGTCACTAAAGTTGCAGAAGCAAGATGATTAGGAGGGTTATATCGGTGCAACAACCTTATGATAGTGAGCAGTACAAGTTCTCACTCTGAATCAAGCCAAAATGCCAGAAGAACATTAGAAAGAAGGATGCTTCTGGCTCCTTGTTCCTATGCACAAATTTCTTCTTCGTCCTGGGATCAAATTAAAGGAGCAACTCAGTGTTCAAGTCTTTCACGTAGCAATAGCATTTTGATTTCCCCAGTAAACTGCTTCTGTCATCAACTTCTGTGTTCAGTACAAATGAAAAAAAAAAAAGAAACAAAACTTGTTCTAAAGGAAGGTCACTTCTGAAGCCATTTCTGTGTGGGAGATAGAAGCTTTCTTTCATTTCAGAGTGGTATAACAGTACAGCCAGGACATTCTTCTCAGAGCCAAATCTGGGCAAAATTATTATCTCTAAGAGTGCTCTTAATGAATTATTTTGAGAAGCCACTAGCACAAAAGAAAATCCGTATATAAAAACTACTTCTTATACCAGGTATGAATTTTCTAACTAAAGGTGACAATCTTCATACTCTGCAAAATGTGCACAGAAGTAATAAATCCAGTATTAAATAATAAGTTCGTTATGCCTTTGGCTATACTGCAGTTTCAGCTGGCTTTTCCACGTTATAACCAGTCACTGATATGTATTCTTTAGATCCACAGCGATGTGAGAGAGTTAAATTTAAGAAATATAGGAAGAAGTTTTTGTGATATTCTTTTTGACCAGAAGTGCACCATACAGGAACTTATCGTGTATTTCATTTTGACGATGTTTTCCTATCATTTCACTCAAATTATCATTCATGTACAGTATTTATTTTTAATTTAAAATTAAAACACTGA